TTTCTTGGTGAGCCAGGCTCCCAAGTTACGTAACACCTTTTCTTGGTGAGCCAGGCTCCCAAGTTACGTAACACCTTTTCTTGGTGAGCCAGGCTCCAAAGGTACGTAACACTTTTTCTTGGTGAGGTATAAAGTACATGTGTGTGTGTCAGTTCTGAGTTCATAAATAACAAAACTACACTCATTCAGTGGAGGAATATTTTCATCGTTGTTTTTCTTTCTTTTCTTTTTAGGTTCCACCAGTCTACTACAAGGGTTTGGGATTCTTAGAACCAAAAGCCATTTATTTAGCTGTAAGCAAGAGATAGTACTAATCAAGAGGAAAAACTGACAATTTATAAATTCACTGACGCGTCTTGTTCTCTGTATATTACTTTATTAAATGTTTGTATGTGTTTCCTGTATACTTTTTAATTACCTCGTCTTTCGATTTAACTTCTGTGTAAGTTTCTTAAGATAACACTTAAGAAATTTTTTTATTATCTGTAGAATATCTTAAAGAAGAAGCTCCATTATTTCTTCAAGGTCTTCATTTTACATCTGATCAAAAACAATAGCTTATCTACATGACAATTGATAATCTTAAACTCTGTGAAAAGTCCTACAACAAATAACCTTACCATAACAATGGATTTGACAGTTGATAATCTTACACTCGGTGAAAATTCCTACAACAAATAACCTTACCCTAACAATGGATTGGACAGCTGATAATCTTACACTCTGTGAAAAGTCCTACAACAAATAACCTTACCCTAACAATGGATTTGACAGTTGATAATCTTACACTCTGTGAAAATTCCTACAACAAATAACCTTACCCTAACAATGGATTTGACAGTTGATAACCTTACCCTAACAATGGATTTGACAGTTGATAATCTTACACTCTGTGAAAAGTCCTACAATAAATAACCTTACCCTAACAATGGATTTGACAGCTGATAATCTTACACTCTGTGAAAAGTCCTACAATAAATAACCTTACCCTCACAATGGATTTGACAGTTGATAATCTTACACTCTGTGAAAAGTCCTACAACAAATAACCTTACCCTAACAATGGATTTGACATTTGATAATCTTACACTCTGTGAAAAGTCCTACAATAAATAACCTTACCCTAACAATGGATTTGACATTTGATAATCTTACACTCTGTGAAAAGTCCTACAACAAATAACCTTACCCTAACAATGGATTTGACATTTGATAATCTTACACACTGTGAAAAGTCCTACAATAAATAACCTTACCCTAACAATGGATTTGACAGTTGATAATCTTACACTCGGTGAAAGGTTCTACAACAAATAACCTTAACAATGGAATTGAAAAACTTGTAATGCCTAGCCATTACGGTCGTTAAGTGATAGTGGTCTTGAATTATTCGAAATAACATCACCAGTAATGTTATTTTTGTACCTTAAAAAAAGATTCCATCGAACGAGGATGAAATGTTTGTTACCGTCATGTCTAACTGTAAAAGTTGTTTCATAACTGTCGTGTTGGAAATCTTAGTTTGAGATAACTTTTTAAACATGAAAGTAAGATTAACATCTCCTCTGTCATTCAACACAGTATAGCTGATTTGTCTCAATATTTTAATATTATGACGCTAAATGTTGATGTTATCAAAATCTGATTAATGAAAGACATCATAATACAGGCTCGAGTAACTTCATCTGAAAGAAATTATCTAACCCACAATATTATCATCACTTCATAAATATGTTTTAAACGTAGCCTACCGATCATCGTCTTATACAGAAACAGAACACGTAAATATGTATACACTGAGTGGTAACAAGTAAATAGACAACTAATTTTTCGTCATTTAACTGATTTATACTAACTAATTTGTGTTCACAGAACACTATATAAATGAAAATGGTCCGCACACTAATTATCTTGTGCTTCAACATGACCAGAACTCAAGGTTCTCTCGAATTGTCAGATTTTGTTAGAGGAAGGATAGCTGGTCAAGCAGATGGTGGAATAAGTCAGCGGC